CACGTCTCCGTCACTCAGAGGTCAGACTCTCACGTCTATCCGTCACTCAGACTCTCACGTCTGTCCGTCATTCAGAGGTCAGACGCTCTCACGATCTCCGTCACTCTCTTGTGGAGGTCCGTCGTCACGTCTGTCCGTCACTCAGAGGTCAGACTCTCACGTCTATCCGGAGGAGCGGTCAGCCCTGTCCGTCCCTCGGAGTGGTCACGCTTAAGACCTAGGGTCGATTCCGCACTTTACAATGTGTGAAGCGCATTTCTGGTGTCCCCTATCGTGATATTTCTAGTATATTTCTACAAGCGGCGTAAAACCCAACTCACTCACTCACGCACTGATGACACAACGTCATGTGAGAACGTCAACCGACGCGATTCTCCGAACGTTTGCATTCTCGCCCCAAACCAAATGGATTGTGATTATCAACCGAACCGAAATACTTGTTTTTTCAAATTGAAGATTATTTTATTAGGGCTCCTTGCCTCTAGGCAGGAGACCTATTGTAATTGTTCGGATTATAATGTTTTACAGAATAAAGATGAACATGCAGCAGAGATCCTGGCACAGCCAGGCTGGTAAGGCTCATCATCAGCTCAGGGCTCTCGCCCCCTCTACACGCAGCCCAGACAGCGAATGGGACTTCTCTCAGGAAACACTGCCTAGTCGAACCCACCAAGAACATTTCGGAGAATATGAAGGCTCCCCAACACTGCAGCCTTCTGCATTACCCAGAGTGTCAGAAGGGCTGTGCTGCCGGTGGAGAACCCGGGCACTCTCCTGATCTGCGCCAAGAGATCAGGAGGTACCAAACCAAGGGCACCGAGAACAATGGGGAGCCTGACGACAGTGTACTTTGGATGCAAGCGAGACATTTCAAAGGCGAGGTCCGCATATTTATCATGCTTTTCCTGAATCTTGCCAATCACATTGCTGTCAAAAGGGACAGAAAATTCAATGATATAAATAAATTCATTGGCTTTATCAAAAAGGACAAGATCAGGTTTGTTAGCTGGAATTCTTCTGAGGCTGTATATGGGCCTGTTCAAAAGAAGTTTGAAAGCATCATTTTCCATTACGCCCTGGACATATTCAGGGTCGTACCATGGATAGACCTCGGAGTCAAAGCCACAGACATGGCGAAGACGGTAGTAAAAGCAAAGAGTCCATGCCATCATGTCGTTTAAGATATGCTGTTTGTGCCAAAGAAGGGCATTCACTGACAAGGTGTTGGACAGTCTCTGTAAATTCATTACACAGTCGGCATTTCATGTTAATATTTTCTTTAAGAATCACATTTTGGCGATTGTGAGTGGGAAGTGACTGGTCCTGAGCAGCAAAAAGAAAGCCCTCAGTTTCACATTTAAGACCAGCCGACTTCATCCAGGCGAAGGAGTCGTTGGGATTGCTATTCTGTTCAACACACTGCATGTACACACGATGCAATGGCTTATAACCATTATTATTTATTATTGCGCCGCTTCTTTTACCAAACATACCTCCTAAACCAATGCTCCGAAGCGCTTACAAAAAATCACACAGATGCCCACCGAGGTGAAGATATTCCCTTTAAAAATCTCTAGGCTCTAGGCCCAATAGTAAAGGGGAGATAGTTCAAAATTAATTTCAAAATATCAAAGTTTGACACCAAATATCTCAAGAACTAATTGTTCCAACACTTCCAAATCTCTTGTACAGATGCACAATCGAATTCCCAACAATTTTGCCTGACGGGTCAAGTCGCTAAAATGTACCGTTTGGCAGTTATTTTTGTTTTCAGTTTTTGGCCATGTTTTTTTTCAGTTTTCTGAGTAGTTTGCTCCCAAAATGTGCTGAGCTCGAACCATCAGCTCCAGATATTCCAAACTTTCCATAACTGATGTCCAGTAACCATTGTGCAAATTTTGCAGTATTTCCAGTATGGTAGATGAAGTCTTGGTGATTCCAGAACACTAATTGTTTTGACCGTAGACCCAAGAACAACTGAGATACAGCCTTTTAAAGAGGGAACTATTTCTTCTCCGGAACTTCTTAAAAGGTTCGCGACCCCGGCTGTATTTGGAAGATCCGCTCGTCTGTCAAAAACGTGTTCTGGCTCCGTTTTGGACGATGATTTCTAGCCCTCAAATACAACAGGTAGAACTAAAGCCAAGGAGCCCCCATCGTTGCTTGCGACAATATTTATTATTTTGTTATTATAATATGTCAAATAGGGTATGTCAAAATGACAGCTACACGGGGTCGAGTTTCTATATGAACGTCATCTCGGATGAGTTAATGAGAAACAATTATGTTAGAGCTAAAGGTATTAAAATTTCATGACTTACTTAACCTAATAATCTAACTATGATGAGGAGTATTTTAACATTTTCCTTCCATTATCAGTTCATCTCAAATCTAAAACATACAAATTTTTTAATACTGCAAATAAAATCGCTGTAGTCAAATTTGAATGTTTATCATCAATATGCGAGTGTCAAATCGTGAATCAGGCTGTCAAAATTACATCTGACCCAACTCACTACTTACATTGGGAAATGAGAATGGAACCTCCTCCTCCCTTCAGGCAGTCGTTACAAAGGTACAAATTGCGAAAACTAAGAGAACCCGTACATCCTTTATTCCAAGTAACATATCTGTTTTAAACAAATGTGAAGATGAAGAATAATGACAATTATTATGGATATACAACTTCTTTTATTCTGTGACGTCGACGTTCTAATGTCGTTGTCAAGCAACCTATGTCGAAACGTCGCCTCCACAGAATAAAAGAAGTTGTATATCCATAATAATTGTCATTATCTTTCATCAACTCAACTTCTAAAATGCCCATCAAAGAAGAAATGTGAAGATACTTAAATTCATGAATTTATGTAAATATGTTGATGATATCTTCATCAGTTAGCTCATGGCAAGTTTCCACGACAGTATCTTCATCAACGTACTGTTCAGCAGTTGGGACTTTGTCGCCGTCACTTCGTGGTAACTGCTGCATCAAATTCCGCGGCTCAGCTTAATCCTAATCCTAATTAACATGTGATTTTGTTACTGATGTGATGTTCTCACACCTGCCACAACTGAAGTGACACACGTCCCTAGTGTTTTGATGGGTAAGTAATCAATTCACAGCAAACGCCTGCCGAGAGATTAACACGCGTCCCTAGTGTTTTGATGGGTACTCAATTCACAGCAAACGCCTGCCGAGAGATTAACGTTGAATACACTTAGTCGTCCGGTGAACAATACTGACGTGAAACATACATGTACACAGATCTTTCCGTCCGGATAACTGGATCATTTTAAAATGGAATTCTATGGGAATGCTTTGTAACTTCTCTGTCCGGGTCCGGAAGCGCGGGGGGTCCGGCTAAGCGAGTACAATTACTGAAGGCAAGTTTCGTTTCACCTAAAAAATCGTCCGGAAGGCGGAGTTTCCGGATATACGGGGTCCGAGTAAATGGGGTTCGACTGTATTTGTATCTTTCTGATGTGTCAGTAGCTCTGTTGATGTAACACAAATTCCTGAAAAGGCAAGAGAATATTATTATCATTATCATTTCTGGAAACGGTCTGAATACTGTCTTCATTCTCTAATTAATCCACCTCGATGATTCTGCTGGTGGACTGAAGCCCTTGAGATGCATCATAAGCCCAGTAGCATATTTAATTATGCTGACTCAGCTACAAAAGAAATGTTTGATCTGAGACATTAAAATTGATCCCAATGTGTAGTAAAACAAACGTATTTCCCAAACGTTTACTTATAAGCATAAGAATCTCAGTACTTCTACACAAAAGTCGAAATTCAAAATGATCCATTTGGATTTCCGGTCCATCGATAATGGTTTGTCTGATTTATTCCAAAACTCTGCGGCGTCAGGCAAAAATACTACCATTTTAGGCAAATTCTGTGAATGACGAATGTAACCGGTAGAGCAGGACATGCTTACCCTTTTCGCAAACACCCGGTGTCATTACCGATTTCCAGTGATCCTTTCATATAATTGTAAAGCTATTTTCCCTTCACATCAAAACCGAAATTCGTTTCTGAAGATACGTCAAGACTGGTCATTCCTTTGCTCTGACGTTCTATATTTATCACGCCTGAGCAAGTTACAGCACCCAAATACATTTTGATGTAGAAATACGGTATTAATATATATTCTGTACGACTACTTATATCTACAGAGACAACGGACTTGGGTTAGAGATGGACAGTTTGATGACATTTGACGTTTGTAATTTATTGAAGAGTTGAAAGCAATACTATTTTTGCAAACTAATATATCTACAATGCATAAAAATATACGTTACAGTGCCAGTTCACTTTCTCAGGTTACCTTTGGCTCAAGTTGACATACATAAATTGTTGATGTTATCGCTTCAAGAGCTAGATAACTATGCAAACTATGTTAGCAAACAGTATCTTCTGTACGATTCCTACTACGTTATGTGCAAGTGTTTACGAATCATTATGAGTTAGTGAACATTCTGCCCCATCGGTGTCACCTGTCACAAACACATGTCAGGCAAGTCAATTACTAACATGGGAGCATATGATGCATCAAATTTGGAAACCGCCTCTACATGTCTATCATAAATCTTTTGAAAGTTTACTAAGGGCTTGAGTGTAGGAGTGAGAGAGTTGAGTTTTCCGCCGCACTCAGCAATATTCCAGCTATATGGAGGGGTCTGGAAATAATCGAGTCTGGACCAGACAATCCAGTGATCAACAGCATGAGCATCGATCTACGCAACTGATAACCGATGACATGTGTCAACCAAGTCAGCGAGCCTGACCACCCGATCCCGTTAGTCGCCTCTTACGACAAGCATGGGTTACTGAAGATCAATTATCACCCGGGCATTCACGGGTTTGAAAGTAAGAACACTGATGAGGAAGAATGCTATAACGTTTTTTTGCACAGTTTCAGAACATTTTCCACACAATCATTCCAGGTATATGTAATATGATCAGGATATCTTGTGTTTCCAGGTGACTTCTCCATGATGGCGGGGAATCGAAATAAGGTGTTTCCCGCAATGAGCGTCAAAAGAGAACCCCCGCCCATCACCGACGCAAGTCGGCGGCGCGCCACTCTAACCCGGAAGTGGGATAGCCTGGAGAAAGAACTCAAATCCAACGAACATGTTACTTCCCGTATTGAGGCCAAGGTGAGTCAAAGTCATAGCAAGGTCCAGGTTCATAATCAAATCATACCATCATACAATAATATATTTATATATCAAACAATGCTGGATATTTGTAACAGATATGTTCAGAACGTGATGATGCATCTTTTCTTCATCCGTTTAAACATGCATCCCAGAATTTATCTCTACGATTAGAGGCGTCAGCCATGTTGTGACAACAAGACACTTTTGCACGTTTCATCCTCGGTGAAAATATTTAACGATGTTTATCGGTTTGCAACAAGTCCCACATTCTTAAATATGATTTGTTGGTTTGAAAGTTTGAAGTCGCACACGATCTACAAAAGTTAGGTGATATCCCCCGTTCAAAACTGGTGACAGTAATAAAAAACAAGCATTAAGTTCACTTCGTACGGTTCGGCCTAGCAACCCCTTTATCAGTTGATATTGTATGCCTCCCTAGAAGCACTACCTGCATCTGTTGATCCTGTATGTGTCTGTATGGCAGCACTACCTGCATCTGTTGATCCTGTATGTGTCTGTATGGCAGCACTACCTGCATCTGTTGATCCTATATGTGTCTGTATGGCAGCACTACCTGCATCTGTTGATCCTATATGTGTCTGTATGGCAGCACTACCTGCATCTGTTGATCCTATATGTGTCTGTATGGCAGTACTACCTGCATCTGTTGATCCTATATGTGTCTGTATGGCAGCACTACCTGCATCTGTTGATCCTGTATGTGTCTGTATGGCAGCACTACCTGCATCTGTTGATCCTGTATGTGTCTGTATGGCAGCACTACCTGCATCTGTTGATCCTATATGTGCCTGTATGGCAGTACTACCTGCATCTGTTGATCCTATATGTGTCTGTATGGCAGCACTACCTGCATCTGTTGATCCTGTATGTGTCTGTATGGCAGCACTACCTGCATCTGTTGATCCTATATGTGTCTGTATGGCAGTACTACCTGCATCTGTTGATCCTGTATGTATCTGTATGGCAGCACTACCGCATCTGTTGATCCTCTATGTATCTGTATGGCAGCACTACCTGCGTCTGTTGATCCTATATGTGTCTGTATGGCAGTACTACCTGCATCTGTTGATCCTATATGTGTCTGTATGGCAGCACTACCTGCGTCTGTTGATCCTGTATGTATCTGTATGGCAGCACTACCTGCATCTGTTGATCCTGTATGTGTCTGTACGGCAGCACTACCTGCATCTGTTGATCGTATATGTGTCTGTATGGCAGCACTACCTGCATCTGTTGATCATGTATGTGTCTGTATGGCAGTACTACCTGCGTCTGTTGATCCTATATGTGTCTGTATGGCAGCACTACCTGCGTCTGTTGATCCTATATGTGTATGTATGGCAGCACTACCTGCGTCTGTTGATCCTATATGTGTCTGTATGGCAGCACTACCTGCGTCTGTTGATCCTGTATGTATCTGTATGGCAGCACTACCTGCATCTGTTGATCCTATATGTGCCTGTATGGCAGCACTACCTGCATCTGTTGATCGTATATGTGTCTGTATGGCAACACTACCTGCATCTGTTGATCCTGTATGTGTCTGTATGGCAGCACTAAATGCATCTGTTGATCCTGTACGCGTCTGTATGGCAGCACTACTTGCATCTGTTGATCCTATATGTATCTGTATGGCAGCACTACCGCATCTGTTGATCCTGTATGTATCTGTATGGCAGCACTACCTGCATCTGTTGATCCTGTATGGATCTGTATGGCAGCACTACCTGCATCTGTTGATGCTATGTGTGTCTGTACGGCAGCACTACCTGCCTCTGTTGATCCTATATGTGTCTGTATGGCAGCACTACCTGCATCTGTTGATCCTGTATGTGTCTGTATGGCAGCACTACCTGCATCTGTTGATCCTGTATGTGTCTGTATGGCAGCACTACCTGCATCTGTTGATCCTATATGTGTCTGTATGGCAGCACTACCTGCATCTGTTGATCCTGTATGTGTCTGTATGGCAGCACTACCTGCATCTGTTGATCCTATATGTGTCTGTATGGCAGCACTACCTGCATCTGTTGATCCTATATGTGTCTGTATGGCAGCACTACCTGCATCTGTTGATTGATCCTATATGTGTCTGTATGGCAGTACTACCTGCATCTGTTGATCCTGTATGTGTCTGTATGGCAGTACTACCTGCATCTGTTGATCCTGTATGTGTCTGTATGGCAGCACTACCTGCATCTGTTGATCCTATATGTGTCTGTATGGCAGCACTACCTGCATCTGTTGATCCTATACGTGTCTGTATGGTAGTACTACCTGCATCTGTTGATCCTAAACGTGTCTGTATGGCAGCACTGCCTGCTTCTGTTGATCCTATATGTGTCTCCCTGGCAGCAACACATGACATAATCCCATTCCTTCAAAAGTCTCAATATGAATAATGTAAACCTACCACCATAACGACATATGATCCTTTATTCTAAAGAACTAATTGTTATTGTTAACATAGGAAATGTAGTACCGCAATGAATGATTTATGTATATGTGGAGAATGAAACGGAGACATAGTTCAACTTTGTTACAGCTATTGTGGATTCTCTTTAATGTAATAATGTAGTAATTCCCGGAGGTAGCGTCCTGCTATGCGTCATTTAGTTACACAAGCACTGGTTGTCAGTTTACTATTTGTTAATTATACGAAATCGCGTTTATTGATTGCATCTGCTATACACCTGTACTAACCCGAGTGGGGCTCACCTGTGATGTACTATTTACCCAACGAATAACATATAATCGATATTGATTCATTTGTCGACCTCATTTTTTACCCCCTGTTTTACTGACACGGGAGTTGCCATATAAAATAGATTTTAAGTAATTCTTTAATATTTAATGTTGATTCTACACTGCTCATAAATAAATAACGACGGCAAACTGCCGATTCGCGCTTTCGTTGTTTGCCTCAGGACATACAGAAGTCAGTTGTACCCGACAAATGTACTTTTTGTGTATGACGCACTGGTGCTGCGCCCATAGCAAGTTGACAATGTCTATTTCAGTGTTTTGGCTGTTTTTCATCAGTCGCCCACACTTCATATCCATACGGGGTATTATTCATGTCAGTGAATTTAGCTCACCTGTACTGAGCCTGTGTCGTTCGTGGCTCGTATGTGAGTGCGTGTGCGGCGTGCGTAGAACGGGTAGCCATATTGGAAACCATAACGTACGTTCATCTACTGCTTTCTTCACGCCCTTTATGCAGCTTTAGAGTCGTTAATTATAATAGAGGGGACACTATGGACCTCTGTAAAACCTGGATTCCCGGTTACATTCCCCACAGTGTTTGAAAGCCAGTTATGGTGTCCCCCGCCGTGATATTGCTGGAATATTACTAAAAGCGGCGTAAAAACTAAAAGCTCACTCTCTCACTCTACAAAACCAGTTATATATGTATATATGCGTGAAATATATCGATTGCGGTAGGAAGTGTTCTGGTTTAAAAGTCGGCGGCTTTTCGGTTTGAATTGAATTCCTTGAGGTCTTAGATTCTTTTTTGTCGGGAGTTTGAAGACAAACAATACGAATATTAAATACATAATGGTGATCCCCAGCAGCTGCTGAGTATAATTAATGGGGTGGGGAAGTGGGAGGGAGGTTGTGGTGGGTTGTGAGGGGCGGGGGTTCGGTGAGGCTAAATGATGATGCAAAATGGTCCATATTCAACAACATTTGTATATTGAAGATTTTGCATCATCATCTAATCCCCCCATTAATTATTTAAACACGTTTGCTGTTGCGGCGTAAAATAACCCTCCTCACTCATTAATTAGTTAAACAGATAATTTAAATCATATTATTATTACATCTGAACCTATTTCACTGACAACTATGGCTATGTCTTGTCTTCTGATCACATCGCTTTAATTGTGATGATGTCTAGTTAATTGATATCAACAGAGGGTAAAGTAATAATAACATACAAAATACTTTGGACTAGTCCCTAATAAATGTAAGGGGTGCATTTTCCAAAGTGCAGGCAAAGTGCACTAAAACCCAACGTTACTGTAGGCGATAGGCAGCGTTGCCAAAATGCACTGTAGGCGAATGGAGATGGACCCTCTTGAACACGGGCTTTCAACTATGAGCACTGGAACAATGGATTCAATGCATTGACGTCATAGCCAAACTGCACAAGAGTTACTGAACTCGGGTAACATCTCTTGAGGTTTGATCAAAGGCTGTGCGCGTATAACTAATAATGCTAATTACTGTGCATAATCGACTACAGCTTGTGAAATGCTGGACCGCATGATGGCGAAAACACCGGCTCACAAGCGAGTTGTTTTTACATCTGGTTCTGTAAGTACTTTAGTCAGTTTATCAGATCTGTATAAAGAATTCGTTTTCTTAGTAATTGCAGGTGTAAATGATGTTTTTTAGACACATTGGATAAGATGTGATGTACAATGTTTGTACATATTAACTATGTATTCGTGACTTGTTTGAACAAGTTGCTGAGTAATCTATGTAAGGCAATTGTTTTCCGAGTCGATGGTACAATTTCGACTATATCATGTGTATTTGTTTGTTTAACGCCGCAGTCAGAAATAGTATAGCTGCATGACGGCAGTCTGTAAATAATCTAGTCTGGACCAGACAATCCAGTGATTGACACTATGAGATACTCTGTCAAGTATGTGTTTATGAATCACAGGTTTAACAGTGATGATACGAGGTGTTCGCGAAAAGGTGTGCGGCTCCTGCCCCACCGGTGTCCTACTTCCATGATGCACCCATGATAAAAATATGCAAACTCAAGTGTTCGGGACGTCAAAATAATGACTTGCATCGGAGAAAATGTTGGTCACCGATGCATCAAATTTTGAAATGTCCTCCACATATCTACCATAAAACCTTTTGAGGTCTTTACTTTAAGGATAAACTGTTCACAAGTTAAGTGGTCTGATCGTTTTAAGGGCTGTACGGAGTTGCGTCCCTTAACCGTGACAGGATTC